CACCACGCGTGGTCGAACGCACCACTTATGTCTACACTGATGCCGCAGCAGTATTTGAAATCAGCCAGCAGTAGCTCAATATGCTCCACCGCTCGTGTAATTATATCCTCTGTGCTCTTGTTGGGCATAAAGCCATATTGCTTTTCACAGAAGAAGTGTTTGCCAAGCAGAAACGATGTTATGCGGTTGCTTATGAGATAGTCTAGGACTTTGCCTAGAATCGGCAGAAGGCTAATCGGCCTATAACTCTTCACATTCCCTTTGTCAGGATTGCTACCCTTTGGAATTATCACAAGTCTTGCCGCCTTCCAGACAGCCGGGAAGATACCAAATTTAAGGCAAAGATTGTAAATGCCGACCAGATAGTTCGAATCATACTCCCATATCTTTTTAACAATCTCAGAAACCATACCATCCGGTCCCGGGGCCTTACCGGGCTTTAGTCTGTCAACAGCGTACTTCACCTCTTCCCTCGTGAAATCAGGGTCTAGGACTTGAATGTAAGTAGAAGCACTTAGTTGCCTAATTCTTTGTTGTTCAGGTGTGTCTGTACTCTCCTCGTCATTAGGAAAGAATGAATCCATAAGCCTCAGAACAGTACTCTCAACTCCATCTGTAAATGAATCGCCATCTCGTACTGCAGAGAGGAAGATGGGTCTCCTCAGCTTTCCGACACTTGCTTTGTATAGGAATCCCCAAGGCTTAGATGTACATTCCGTACAGTAATTCCTCCAACTCTGTAACTTATTTCATTTAATGCATTCCTTGTATATCTTACTTTTCGCCAAGTACTCTGCCTTTTTCCTCTGTCTTTCTTGCGGATTCTTGGCTCGTTGAAATCGTCTGCGTAGGTTGTTATTCTCCTTTCTTAACCTTGTAAGTTCATCACTCCACCAAGGCACTGACCGTTGACTTACTTTCTTCTTAGGAATGGTGTCTGCGCTAATGGCACAGAGCGTCTCTTGGAATCGATTGATGATTAACTCCGCCTCTTCTCTGTTTCCACAGTTGATCAAGGTGTTAATATTTAGCGCAGCCTGCAGCCGCATCTTAAAAAGCGGCCAATCGGCCCAGTTAATGGCAAAATGTGGACTACAGTCCTCCAGTGTTTCTGTCAATAGGCCGATTTCCATGAAGAGATAACTGTGGTCGCTCAGGCTACACAGTGACGACACTTCCCACGACCAGATATGCCTCACTGCTCTCCTGTTGCTAATAGTTAGGTCTATCCAGCTCTTTCCCACGCCGGCGTCGAAAGTCGGCAATGAGTCTGGTTGGTTCATAATATACAGGTTATTGGCATTAACAAACTCTAAGAGCGTGTCCGCCCTTCCATCGTTCTCCGGGTCTCCCCAGAGCTCTGAGTGGGCATTAAAGTCCCCACAGATAATAACTTTCCTATCATCAAATCTTTTAATGAGCCTTTCCAGATTGTTAAGTAGTGGGTTGATGTCATCTGTTATCGGGCAGTAAGCACTGATTAGAACATAGCTGTCTTCATTGATCCCAACTTCCAGACATGTAAGATATTTATCACTGACCTCACCATAAAATACTACGGGAATGTATGGATTGTTTATAATAGCCACAGTAGATGGGCTATAGTATTCATTATATAATACCTTGTACGTGCTCCTTAGACAGGCCGGCTTGCCTTTACAACAGTATGGCTCTTGAACCATTGCTATATCAGTCGTCTCCAACGTTTTGCAGAGCGCTGAAGTGCCACTAATTGACCTTTGGACATTGATCTGAACAATCCTTAACTTTCTTTCCTTTCCATTTCCACATGTTTCAGGGTTACTCTCCATAGTCGATCTTCGACATTAGCATCTTACGAACCTTTAGAATCAAGGGACACTTTTTGGAACATGCATTATGTCCCGTCTCCTTCATTTTCTCACGTTTACATTTTACGCATTCTACTTTGCTTTTATTGGTACACTCTTTGTATTTATGGGCTCCCCCACATTGACTACAGATGGGGCCCTTCTCCTTGCGTTCCTTAGAGATATGACCAAGTTTACAACATTGAAAACATTGCGTAACGGACAAGTAGTCCTCAACTCCGCACCGTGTCCAACCTATATTTAATTTCTTACTTTGCAGTAGAAGTCTTCTTGGTAGAGGGTCGAGTTCTAACACCCAATTGGTTGTAGATTTAACCTTATTTCCAAATTGGAATTTAACGGTAGATTGTCAAACGAAATCTTCTATTTCCATAGCTTCCTGGATGTGTTCATTTTGTTGATAAATGCATTCTTGTAGCTCTTCTCGTGTGATATCTTTGTCCACACCATAGATGACTACTTTCGGTCGCCTTCTCAAAGGTTCTCTTGTATTAAGTCCTGTTCTTTCTTCTATGATACCTCTCAGCTTCCTCTTCTCCTCCGTTGTGGCTACTTCAATAGCCAGGCCTCCTCTTCTTAGTTTTCTGACTGCCTGGATTCCTATTCCCAGTTGCCTTGGATTCACACTTTTCTTCAGTTTGCTTTTGGTAAGTTCCGGATCCTCGTTTTCGTTTTCCAGGTCAACTAAGATAACCTCTCTACTTGGTGGTCTTGCTTGCTTCCTTGCGGTCACTTGCGCATACGAAGGAACGACTGGTCCCCCTTGCTCCATGTACTTATCCAACTTTTCGTGTAAACTCTCCATTGCCGCTTGCAATGGATCCCTCCGCTTCTCTGACATCAACATGATTATGCGATTAATTTGTGCACATACAAACTTGACGTGATCGCCAGCTCCCAGCTTGCAGCCGGCATTGGATAACATATAATTGCGAACTTCTTCGCGGATGTTTTCCACTAGTCAAGTCTTTCATCATCCGCTTGTACATCCATATTGCCTTGCGACGACAACTCGTCGTCCGACAGCTGCACGTGTGGCCTTTTGGCCGTCATAGTCCTTAAAAGGACTGGTAAGTTCTATTCGCAGGGAACGATCTGTTTCACCCTTTCGGGCTACTTACAGGCAGGACCACGTGAAGGTTCGTCCCTACTTCCCCTGGGATTGTTACTAAAACGCTCCAAAAGAATAGCTAGACAAATCGCAGACACTTGCCCTAGATTAAACAGTCGAAAAGCCAAAAAGCGCAAACAATCAATGGGGCACCCTGCCCAGTAGATAGGGACAGATACAGATATTTATTATATAATATGTCAGAGACACATCCTGGCGCCACAAAGTATTACCGGGTAATTACTCAAAATATATAAGTACATTAAATACATAGAAGAATCAAAGTTGTAAGAACAATTAAACAAAGAAAACGCGTTACAGATTATATATAGTAGTGTACACGCGTACAATATTAATTAAAATAAATAATATATAGCAGACTGTAACAACTCCACTGTGCAGCGATGACTTAACTAACATACATTACCTATAAGTCTGATGTTTTCATATACATGGGTTTTGGTAATCTATACCTGTAGGAAATTCTAGTGTCTTACGCTAGCAGCGTGATGTTAATTGACATTGCATAAGTTTCAAAACGAGTTGACAAAGATACTGAATAGGTAGCTCAAGAAGAATTTGCGTGAGGATACATATCAATCACATACATATATACATATACATATGCACATGTTACATATATTGCTTTTATATGTATTGTGCCAACAATATACATCCATGCATACATTGCGATTGCATATTTATCAATCAATTACATATGTGCATGTAGGTAAACATACTTAGCTTACATTAAATAAATTTTCAATAGTATAGCGCTAAAAATTTTCAAGTGATACATTAGGTTACCGATTTACAGTTCTGTTGCATTACAGAGGAACATGCTATTAAAAATATTAAAATAGCATTATATCGCTATTACATAGATGAAGATTTCTCTCATTAATACATACATTCCAAAAAGTTACCGATGTAATGAACAGTGTGTCTGTAATGTTATACAATTCTGAAGCTAAAATGAGGCATCATAGCCTAGTAGTTACCTACTTACAATATTCATTAATTCATGTACGATATATACTACTTATAGTAGTATCATTTTGATATGTACAATGCTTACCTGTAGATAAATTTCAGTTGTTCAAGAATAGTTATTGCCATGCAGTAAGTCAAGACTTTTCAATTAGAAGAGGGAACAGCGGTGATACATATTCTGATTTGCAGGAAAGTTTCAGGATATAGTTGTCCAAGGTCATGTTCAGCTGCATAAGTGGTTATTTTCTTATGACAGTTCGTCTGCTAAACTAGGCACCTGAGCCAATTATACAGAAGATTAAACAGTGGTGATAAGTCTTCTGTTCTTCTGCAAGCGATTGTCCAGGGTCGTGGTGTCCAGTGATCCTGTAGAAGTGTCAGCACTGGGTTACGCAGTCCACCCGTTGGCACATTTGAGTAAGGATTATGTAGTTCCACCAATTGACGCGAAGTCACTGTAGAAGTGTCAGCACTGGGTGACGCAGTCCACCCGTTGGCACATTTGAGTAAGGATTATGTAGTTCCACCAATTACGCGAAGTCACGTGCAAATTTTCAGCTTTCAAATGTCCTTAAAGTCGATCACTTAGTGATCCGCTGAAAACACAACACATAATTACCATGATCAAGTTGTTGGTCTGCAAATATTATTGCAATATTATTCTGTGTTATAATGCCCAGTGTACAATGTTGAGGTTATGTCACTTATTGTAACGTAAAAGGGAGACTTCAATTATTATTATAAGATGGTACATTAGTTCTTAGGTAGTACTGTTTAACAAGTTGTAGTAAAGAGTCAAAGGTATCCTTTTGTTCAAAGAGAGATTGTAATGTAGGTGGTGGCCAATCTATATTGTGTGAAAATAATAGGGTTTTTAATGTCATTCTTTCCTTTTCTAGCATTGGACAAATATATATATATAATGGCTGCTGCCATCAATACAGTCGCAGATAGTGCAATTAGAGTTTTCTGTTCCTTTAAATCTGGATAAATACGAATAAAACCTTCCGTGGTTTGATAAGAACTGTGTGAGTTGGCTATTGGGACTATACCATTTGTTTTTTAAGGAATTTAGGTATGTCTTTAATGTAATCGTGAGTAGTGGTGTTACAGTTGTTCCATTCGTGTTGCCATTTTATGTTCAGGTCCGTCCATAACATAGATTTGATTGTTTGTATGCTGATGTTTTTATATGATATTTCCAACTCGTCATTATGAGCAGCTAATTTAGCCAACTCATCAGCATTTTCGTTTCCAAAATTCCCTTGATGTCCTCTAACCCATTTAATTGAATAGTGGTTAGTTGAGTTATTTATGATCTTTTGGATGCTATTTGCTATGGGATGATAATTCGTGGTGAGCAATAGATCAATGGCTGAGGCACTATCTGTGTTAACAGTAATTAATGTATTCGTATACTTTAGATCGGACCAATGTGTGGCCTTTAGTATTGCGAATAGCTCTGCTTGAAAATTGGAGCAGTGTTCGCCAAGTCTGTACAATTTCATGTCAATTATTTCGTCGTTGCAATAAGCCACGAAACTACTACCAACTCTATTGCCCATTTTTGATCCGTCTGTATATATATTAATATCTGCATCATGATTTGAATTAAGAGTAATTTTGTTCTTAATTGCAGGGTGACTAGTCATGTCGTAAGTTATTGGCTTTTCAAAGTCTTCTGCTCTGACTGTGCAGCCATTTATTTCTATGTTATTCCCCCATTTTATAATCCATATTTTAGCCATATTTTCAATTATTTTATCGATGGGGGGCATCTTGCAATCACTTGAAGAGAAACATTCGGGGTAGTGCTATATGCCCTAGTTAGCTGGATAAGGGCTCTTCTTTGAGCAGAAATAAGTTTTCTGTAGATGTGGACTTTATGGATATCATGGTGCCAGCTGCCGCAGGCATACGTCATTATTGGTATAAATATTTGTTTATAAATAATGTTTAATGCCTCTGATGTTAATCCCCAGTGTTTCTTGGCGATACCAGCGAAGTTATTGAATATAGTACCTGTTCGATCACAAATGTACGCTATATGTTCATTCCATAGAAGTCTGAAATCCAGTATTATTCCTAAATATTTTATAGATTTAACTATCCTAATTTTTTTACCGTTCATTTTTAAGGTGGGTGTTCTAAGGTACAAGTTCTGATGGCCTGGCTTATTAAATACAATGCCATTCGTTTTGTTGGTATTAAATGTCAGTTTGTTGTCTTCACCCCATTTGCTGATTCTATTCAGTGTATTATTACCATGTCTCTCAAGAGCAGCTCTTGTATTGCCTCCGATCAGCACTATAGCATCATCCGCAAATGCGATTGTATCATCGCCAAAGCTTTGTGTTAAAAAGCTGTCAAAAACCACATTCCACAAAATAGGGCCGCAAACTGAGCCTTGTGGGCATGCCCTCACCACATCCCGTCTTATAACATGAGCGCCACAACACATTTCTGCAGTTCTATTTTTCAAGAAGCTGTAGAAGACTCTATATAAGTTGTTAGGACATTGTTTTTCTTTAAGGTTGTTCATAATTGACGGCCACCAGGCACTGTCAAAGGCTTTAGCAATATCTAGACTAATTGCCAGGACGTATCTATAATGATCGAGTAATCTATTAATACTTTTAATTACTTTTTCAATTGCCTCATTCGAAGATCTTTGGGGGCGAAACCCATATTGATTGTCATTTAGTAAGTGGTTAGTTTCCATGTGCCACATTAATCTATTTGTCAAGAGCCTTTCAACTACTTTACCTAGTGTAGGCAAAAGGGAGATGGGACGGCACTCATCCTCTTTCCTGGGTTTTGGAACTGGTATAATCTTCGCGTGTTTCCATTTATTTGGAAATATCCCATATTTAAGGCATGTGTTGTATATATTAGTTAGTTTTCCAGGTATCATAGCCCATAGATGTTTGACCAGAAGTGGCGAGATGTTATCATATCCTGCAGCCTTTTTATTATTCAATTTCACAATTCTCGAGGCGATTTCTGCAGCTAGAAACTCAGGGGTGTTTGCAGTGTTAATGTCCTCAGTGATGTTATTCCGTATCCTATGATGGTGTTTTGTTTCCAGATTTAAGTGGTTCGGAAGACAGAATGTATCCATTTTTTTGCTAGCAGCTTCTGCATAGTCCTGCCCAATTCTAGTAGAGTGGAGTATTTGTGTAATTTTTAACTTGTTTGTACAGAGGCGGGTGATGAACCCCCACGGGTTTTGTCCTGCTTGTTCGCAAAATGCTCTCCAAGATTGTATTTTTGCTGATTTAATAGCAGTTTTGTAAGTTCTTAGATGTTCAAGATATCTTTGCTTGTGTTCAGATCGTTCAGGTTCGCGGTGGCACCCCTGAAAAATTTTCCTCAGCCGTATGTTTTTGGCTCGAAGAACACCCAGATCTTTATTCCACCAAGGTACTGTTTTGTTCTTATTGGTGTACATTGGTATGTACTTCTTGCAGGCGTGATTTATAATATCAATCGAGCTATCAATGGCGTGTTCTGTAAATGTTAGGTCTTCCCTGTCACATATAGGTAAGTATGTTTGAAGGTAAGTCTGAAGACCTTGCCAATTAGCCTTCTCCAAATTATATTTATAATGGGGTTGTTTATAATTATTATCTTCCTCGTTAGATATGTGGAAGGATATCATCGCGTGGGCGTCAATGGATTCATCAAGTATTTTCCAGCCTTTGACAGAAGTGAGACATGCCAGCAAGCATGCAGTTACGTCCACCCAGCTTTCTCCTCTGCTGGAAACAAAAGTTGGAGGGGATGTCGGATTATTTATGATCTGCAATCCATTTCTTGCAAAAAATTCTTCCCAAAGCTTGCCACGGTCGTCTAGTTTATTGCCCCCCCAACATGGAGAGTGTGAATTGGTGTCACCAGCAACTATAAAATATGTGTTATTAAAAGTATCAATTATACTCTGCATGTTTGTAAGGAAGTTTTCTATGTTATAATCTTTGGGACAATAAAAGTTTATAAACAGGTACCTTTTACCATTTATGATGATTTCAGTACAGGTATTGTAGCTGTTGCTTATGTTGCTATGATGTAAGATTGAAAGGTGATTGTGTGGGGCAATAGAAACAGCCCAAGGGTAATCTGAAGTGCCAGTTAAAGATGTGCAAGATTTAGGTAAAATCGCAGGTTTAGATTTGATGCAATACGGTTCTTGTAATAGGATGAAATCAAATTTATTTATTACAGAGACAAGTATAGATGTAGCTGCGATGCTTCTACCAACATTGTATTGCAGAAAACTTATATATTTTTTATTGCGTCGTTCCATAATTGGTTCTTTGGATAATATTATTTTTAATTTTAATATATACTTTGCATCTGTTATCTCTGGCATTATGGTCGCAGTTAGACGAATTCTCGTGTTTGCAGTTACAATATACTGCTGTTTTGTTTTTATTGGTGCATTCGTTGTAGTTATGTTTACCTGCACAATGGCTGCATGTAGGCTCCTCTTGGCTACATGATAATGAGGAGTGTCCAAAACGACAACATCCAAAGCATTGTAAGACTGGGTAAAAGTCAGATGTGCGGCACTTTGACCATTGTACAGATATCTTCTCGATTTTTAATAACTGTAACCTTAGTTTTGGTGTAACTTGGATTACCCAATTATTGTAATATTTTCCTCTTTTACCCATTCTGAATTTAATCCTAAAGTTTCCATGAATTCTGCTTCAGGGTAGAGATCTGCAATACAGTTGTTTTGATCATATATACAACGCGGCAACTCATCTCTTGTTATTTCTGATGGTACTGAGTAAATTACTATATGTGGAAGTTTCTTCTTTGGTTTTTTTATTACAATCTGCGGTACTTCCTTGGCAATATATTGATGGAACCTGTCCGCTTCCTCCTTGTTTTCTATCTCTACCGCAACTCCTCCTCCTCCTATATTCCTGATTTTATTTATTCCAATTCCCAGTATTTTAGGTTTCACTCTGTCATATAATGTTTGTCTTAAGTCAAATGAAGTTGTGTGTTCATCATTACTGTAGAGTAAAAAAACTTCCATTTGTTTGATTGGGTTTTTCTGTTGATTCCCAATATATGAGCGGTCAGATTTAAGGACCTCACTGTATGTTTTCGCAATGTTAATATTACTTTGACAATGAGTTTCCATCTGTTCCATTTTTTTGTGTAAGCATTTTTGGTTGTTTAATATCTCAGTTATTGCACTATCTGCCATCCAGTTTGCTTGATTGTCAGGTAAATGTGAGTTTACTTTAGTATTTAATTGTGTTATTTTATCGTTTATAACCCTGAGTTTTTCTGTAATGCTTCTCTGGTTGTTAACTATAATAGTAGCAGTATCCATATTACACATTTTGTTAACTATGTTTTCCAATTTTTCACTAATCAATTGTTGTGCGTCTAGAAAAGTTTGTTGATGCATACATTTTCCTACATCATTTTCATTGGTAGAGGGATTGGTTTTATGCTCTGGGTCCTCTGGTTTTATGCTCTGGCTATAAGTTTTGATTGGTTGAGATTCAATTTTACAAATTGATTCTAATTTTTTCATTTTTTCATGTAAGAGTTTTTGGTTCTCCAGGATTTCCTTAAAAGTGCTTTCCTCCAGCTTATCTTGATGTTGTGAGAATTGTTCACTTAGTCTTTGGTTATAATTTTCATTTAATTGATCAATCACGTTAGACAGATTTTTTTCGACTCTGTCAAAGGATTTGGTTTTTGTTTCCTTAAGTATTTCTAGTATATCCATTTGTATATTGGGTTTTAAGTTATCCTGTATCATATTTATTTTTTCTAATACAATTTCCGTTAAATTATTTCTGTTATTCTCATCAATAATTTGAATATTATTATTTTCAATGTTTCCAAGCTTTTCTAAAATTTTTTGTTGTTGTTTATCGGTATTAATTTGGCTTTCCTTTAAACTACTTATGTCCGTTTGTATAGCCACGGTAGACATTTTTTCTTTGATAACATCTGAGATCTGTAGATCATCGAATATTTTTTCGGCAAGGACTATAACTTTGTTAAGTTGATCTAACACAAATTGCATATGCACAGGTACGTGAAATTTTCCATTTGGATTGGCTATAGCATATTCCTTGATCTCGTCTAAAATAATGTTAGTCGAATTTCTGAAACTCTCACGAATAGTAAGATCCATTATTTCACAAAATAATATTTAAATAAATAATATATAATATATATGTAATATATATATAAATACTATTNATAGAAAATGTGCTTATAACCAAGCAAATCCCAATAATTAATCTAAAATGACGTAATATAATTATAAACATAGAAAATTATGGCGAATATTATAAATAATTTTTTATATAATTATCCACTATAATTATCATTATCACCAAAAGCTTCCTTATACGATCCCGAATCGGAAAATATATAGTTATCCCTATCCAATATTCAAAATAACTCCGAAATGAGCCGATTTCCACGTAACTATGCAAAGAGGTCATTGACCTTAGCCATAGAGACGGAAGTTCGTTGTATGTTGATTTTCGAACTAGTTAGTAGATTGGCCATAATTTAAAAGCTATTAGCAGTACAGTAATGAAATTTTCGGAAAATATTGCTGAAAGTACCCTGAAAGAACTGCCCGAAGGAAATGGGCTAGAAAGTAGCCAAATTTAAAATAACCCTATTCGACTTCCGACCAGAAGTAAGCCTATAACGAAGCTAATAAAGGTCGTAGGACCTTCAAATTTTGGGAATAGTA